ATTTATGCAATATATCAATTTTTGTTACTATTGACTTTCTGCCAATAACAATGTTTAACATTTGGATGAAGTATCCTAACTGAGAAGCTTAAATGTCGATGAATATTAAAAATATGAATTGCTTAATGAAAATGTGAACCTGTTTAATTTGTGTGCATCGAATTTCTTTGTTTTTCCTCCAGAAAAAACAATGCTCCTTATGCTTAATGAAAACTGAACTACTCGTAACTTGGAGTTGAATTGAGGAATCACAGATTTTCACATACTTCTTAAGTTCATGAGTTTCAGTCACAAGGAATTTAATTCGTTTTGCTGATGTTTATGCAACTCATTCGGACTTAATCAGAGCTACAAGATAGTTTACAATCATAAGACCTAATAAAGGACAAATTACTAGCCGCAGCGGTAACAATGAGGATTATATCCTTTGTTGTGATCCAAGCTCAAAAAAAGTATATTTTCAATGTGTCAAAATCAATACATTATTCAATTCTACGTATATACACAATCCAAAATGTGCTGAATAACAAAAAAATTAGTTTCGTTGAGGTACAGAGAAAAGCAAACATTAAAGACTTCTAACTAGAGACACGCACATTAATATTTTCAATATGAAGCTTCTGATGTTGAAAATTAAGTTTCTCTGTAAATAGAAAACGTTTCCTGATTATTAAATTTCAATTCCAATGTGCGTGCTAAAATATTGTTTCAAATTTCCATGCACACTACAAACAACTGAGATAACATTAACTCCGGTATGTGACAAAATATCTTCGATTATATACTAATCAAAAAATTTGATTATGAATATGGTGGCAAATATCAATCCGAGAGAGAAACATTTCTTGACGAGGCATTAATACACGCTTCCATGTATTAGCGAATTTGTGTTTCCACGAACAAAATACGTTCTTTAGTTAATACGTGGCATATAGCTCAAAATAATAGTATACACTAACACAACAATAAGGTTTACAGGAGATTGTGAAGATGAGTCGCGTAGGGTTACCCCCGATTTAACCAACAGGGCCCTCAAAACGCTCGCTGCTGGGCCCTTATCTGCGACCCGCTTTTTCCCTCCTCCCTCAACTGCATTGCGCCCGCGAACCGCGACGGCGGCGGCGGCGGCGGCCGGTGACGGGGCCAGATGACACGCGCTTATGAAGCGTGCGACACGTCACAATGAAGGGGGCCTGCGGGGCGCCGAGGAGGGGGGCCGACCCGTCTGGCTCGGCCGCCGCCGCGGACCCCCTCGCCGCCCCGAGGGGTGCGCGACGAGCGGTGGCGAGTGCTCCCCCATATGCCGGGAACCCCCTGTGGGGGGAGGGGGGCGAGGGGGTCCGCCGCGCCCCCCGTGCACGCGCGCGCCTGCAGATGCCGTCGTTCCCGCGGGTGACGTCACGGGCCGGGTCACGCCCTGTGCTGCCCGCCGTGCCGCCTGGAACACGCTCGGCCCTGCTCGGAGCGTGCGCCGCCCCCGCCGACCCCGACGCCCCCGCGTGTAAGGTGCGTGCGCCGAAATGGCCGAGATCAGCGTCAGGTTCATGTGAACGGCTTTGACCGACATGTGCAGCATGCGGGTGCGTTCTTAAATCCGAAATGCCACGACGCACGCCTGTGTCTCTCTAGGTTCGGACCCACCTGGACCATTACCAGTCTCACCACGTAAAATAAGGCAAATTCAATTCAATTCAATACTTTTCTAAATTGAGAATAACACAAAAGTACAGGAATACAATTAGTTCAAACATAAGAATATTGATACAAATATCTTTATTTAGCCATGAGCTATAAATAAAAATTATATAATACTATAATAATTTTCAAATATACACAATATTAATTATGAAGCAAAAACAGCAAAACTGAAATACTTTGAAGAAAACGTTAAGCTTCTCAACAGACATATTTTACAGGTATTAAATCAAAGAATACAAAAATCAAGTTTTAAACAGCACAAATATTTCGGTGGCATACACATTCACATTACATCTTATCATAATTTTCAAGTAATCATGTAAAACTCGTGAAGGATCGACGACACAATTCCAAGAGTTTTAAAAATATTCATCTTCGAATGAAGATAAAAATGCAAAAAAAATTGAATTTTCTAATTTTAATTCTCAGGATTAAGGGGATCGGAAAATTGCAAGACACAAAGGTTTCTTTTTGGTAAATGGTGAGTTATTACAAAAGTGCATACACCTTTAACGAATTCGTTCACTATATATAATATTAATGTTTCATTATGACTTCGTAAGTTTCGTATGCCTCCTACGATTCACGGCGAAAATCGCTGATTATAACATTGGTAATTATTAACAAGTGCTTTTTGGACATTCGACAGCTCTTTTGCAATTGTCTGTGGAAATAATTGTATGTTGTAATGTGGAAAAATTAATGCAAATAAAAGGACCATTATAAACTGCAAGGAAACAATTCTCGAAGTTAAAGTGCACAACTGGGAATGTTGTCATAAATGGTCAATTCCTATGCAATTAAGATACTCGTAGGAAAAAATAAATTATTATTTCTTTCCATGCTGACGGGGAATATGCCATTAATGAGAACATGAAAGGCATAGCAAATCTATTACTATTGTATTAGACTATGTTAATTCAAACATTGTATATCAGATCAACATAAATAAAAATATATTCGTTGTGTATTTTTGTATGTTTTCACTCATCGCACTTTTCTCAAAGATTGAAAGTTTTTTGAGTGTTTTAATCTGCATTTTAACTGACTTGTTTCATCCTTTATGTTCTCATTAGCTTGCAAGTCAGGTCTCAAACTTAAATAATACACAAACAAAAACAAGCAATAAACAGCAACGGCCTAATATTAATAGCGTCGCTTTATGCAATCGAGAGTATATATTCTAAAATGTTCTATTAATATTTCATTTACATTTCTATTTTTATATCTGGTACTGTATGACATTCTGAAATAATTCAGATGCAGATGTGATATCTCATTAATTAGTGGATTAATCAGATGCATGACGTTAATTGATGATTAATAAACACTAGAAAGTTAATGAACAACATTTATATTAACAATTCCGTATATGAAATATTGGTTTTACACTATTTTCGGCTACGCTTCCGATTTTAAATTACACTAACCGCGTAAGACTAAGTTAACTTTTTCCCCCTTGGGCCGACAGCTTGTTATTTTTATAACCGGTGGGACGCATATTCGACCAAACACTAGACACCAACTCACTTGCAGGCTTCTCTGATCTGGGGTCAGCAGAAGCCCTCCGCGTCGCATACATAACGGAATCGAACCCGTGACCCTTCGGACCTAAGCTCTGTGACGGTACACGCCCTTAATCACCTCAGCGATATAAGTTGGCAGTTGATTTTTTGCATTGTTAAAAAAAAACCTAAATGAATGGTAGAACATTAATCGTAATGCGCAGACCTACTTACAACCGAAGAAGAAAAAACGTATGTACTACTTTTTCTCGACCATTACTTTTTTCTTGCAACAGCTGTCATCTGCCAGGTAGCACACTTCCTCGTACACTTACCCCGTTATCAGCGCGAACGTGGTCGATTAAATCACCCCATGACCCACTTTACTGCCAAGGCTACTTCCGATCACCTTTTCCTCCTCCATCACTCATTCCGAACACAGGCTTCCGCCGCGAGCGCGCACACGCAGTCTTGAGCGCGCCGCTGCGCGCCGGGCCGGCCACCTCTTCGCCCAAGCTGCGCGCCGCGCCGGACGCCCGGCAAAGCGCGCGCGGCCGCTTCCGTGTTTACGTCGCGGCGTTTTATGCGACGCCGCTATCTGCATCTCTGACGCAACGGGGGACGCAAGCGCGCACGCCGGAGGCCACCCACGCGACGCGACGCGACGCCCCGCGCTGCGACGGCCCGGCGCGGCGGCCGGACGTCACTCGGACACACCCACGCCCTCCGCTGGCGAACGCAGCTGCCCATCGGATTCGTTGCGAGTCTGCTCAAGGAGGAAAATGTACTTTGGAACGCGCCGATTGACTTGAACAGTATGAGATCTGCCGCCGTTAGTTAGCTTACATGACGTTATTTGTTTACATACTCGCGCCCCATCGCTGTTGAAGGCGGATAACAGTCTGAGCCAGGGGTACCGCTTTGGGAGTTGAACTGATCAGACAAAACCTAACCATCGAAACCGAACCAACAGTTTGATTCGTCGGAGTCGAGTTCTATTGGCGACATTAGTTGAAGTTCAAAAGTGCGTAGTGGGACTCGCGATGACTAGACGTTTCCACTTCCCTGTTGAATATGTGTCAGTTAAAAGCGTTTCAAGGAAATGCGCTACGGATGCAACACGCGTTTAAGCTGAGTGTCATCAAAACTAACCATCTGCTTTGGACCTGACAGACTGACGGTACTTCTGTTGTTCACCAGGCATCATGCGCTTCTCATTTAAAAATGTTTATCCGATGATGTAACAAATAAATCTTGTAGCCTCGCGTTCATACATAAATAAACAAGCTATGTATTACATTCACTGCAAAATCGTACCGCTCTGCATCACATCACTGCACTGTACTGAGTTGGCGTTGGCGCGATATGGATGCGTACGGAGCTGCGCGTGTCAGAGTGCGAGCGCTTCGCGACAGAGTTCCCGCGCGACCGAAGCCACGAGACAATCGATGGGCGGCGCGCGCGCCGGACACAATGCCACCACGGTTCCCAAACACGCGCGTCACCCGCTTCTTTCACGCGTCTTCGATAAGCAGCGCTGCGACCCCGCAGCGCGACGAGCTCCTGCAACTAGCGCCACGTGCTTCGCAATAAAGGCAACAGGTCAGCCAAAGGTCTTCTGGCGCAGAACAATGAAAGCGACCGTGTTGCGGTTATGTTAGGAAGAACTTTGCTGTGAAGTTGCAAGGTTTTAATATTTGAAAAAACTCAACCCCAGAAAACGTGCAGATTGTGAAGTAAAAAAAAAATAAATAAATAAATTTAAAAAAAAATGATAAAGTGAAAATGAGTACTTACAGTCGAGCCGAAATGGGCCGGCGGGTTCACTCCAACGATGTAAACCATTGAAACGTCAAACGTTAGAACAATATAAATCGAAACAGTCCCTTTAACTTTTGGCAACAAGAAATGTTTAACAGTTTAGAATATTTCTTTAAGAGATATCACGCTATATACTTAGAGATGTTTAATCTAAAACTCTGTAACAGTTCAATATATTTACAGTACGATTCACGTTCTCACAAACTCTACTTGAACTTCTTAACAATACGTAGTCCTGCATAGATTTCTTCAGTGATGTTCGGATCAAAATTCCACACACGAACTTGGTCTTTCGAACAAAAAAATCGCACTCGCTCTCGTACTGCACTCGCACACGATTCAAAACTTCCGCCGCAGCTACTACCAGTCGAACAACAACAGAGCCTACGAAAACATGTTTCCTTCAAAGTACGTGATGTCCGGCGGCTCGCTGCAGCAAACAACGTCCAAAGTTAACAGCTCGACTTTTTTTCCGCCGCCCACAACAATAACAAAAAAAGAAGCGTCGTGAAAGCGTGAGATTTCGAGACGGCCTGCCGGCAAAGCCCCCCGACACTAGTCCTGCACACGCTCCACGCGCTGTGGATTCTGGGAGGCAGCGACCAAGCGCTCTCTCTCGCGCGCGCCGGCCCGGTCGCCACTGGCGGCGCCGGGGCGCGTCGACCAATCAGAGGCCGCGGCGGGAGTGGGGGAGCCGCGGCGGTGGTGGAGGCGGCGGCGGCGGCGGCGGAG